TAATCAATACAAACATGTATTAAAGGATGATACTGAATTAATGTCTTTAGAATATTGTGAGTTAGACAAAAAAGGAATTGATTTTGCATATGGAAAATTAACTGAATCAATTACAAATGCCTCTAAATGTCTTCCAGAATCAAAATTTAAGAAGTTTCTCAAACCATACTGGAATCATGAACTTGAAAACGCGCACAAAACTATGATTGAAAAAAGAAAGGCGTGGTGTGCGGATGGAAGACCTCGAAATCCGTCTGATAATATATACTGTCAATACAAAATTGCAAAACGTGAATTCAGGCGTACACACAGATATCACGTGCAACAATACCTTATGAAACTAGACCATGAGTTAGATCGCACGACTGAATGTGATTAAAAACAGTTCTGGAAAATAGTCAAGAGTCGCAAAAACTCAGCTAAAGTATCCACAGGTGCAGGTATAAAATTCAATGATCATATCTACAGAGATGCACAAGATCTGACTGAGCAGTGGGCGTCATATTTCAAAAATTTGTATAGTCCATGTGAGAACCCATTATATGATGACGACTAGTATGGTGTAGTAAATGAGCTAGTCTCTGATACTATCCTAATAAATGCCCAAGATAAACATGGTACAGTTACACCAGATAGTGTGATAAAATTAATAAAAACGTGCCCAAAGGGAAAAGCTTGTGGAGCAGATACAGTGTATTACGAGTATTTAATTTATGCACGTGAAGCTATTTCTCCCATTATTGCAAACATTTTTACTTTCATGTTGAGAAATGCTTACATCCCAGACTCAATGAAAAGTGGCATAACTATAACCTTACATAAAGGCGGCAATAAGAGGAAAGATGATCCGAATAACTATAGAGCTATTTCCTTAACTTCAACTATTCTTAAACTATTTGAAATGGTTCTGCTAGAACGTTGTTTTCGACAATAAACAAACAACAAGGTGGATTTTAAGAACAATTAGGGACATTAATGACGTCTTTTATTTTGCGCGAGAGTGTATTTTATTCACGTGAGCACAGCAGCAAGTTTAACGTTTGTTTTTTAGAGGGAAAGCAAGCGTTTGATCGAGTTTCGCAAACGGCCTTTTGTATACACTGCTTGAAACTGGAATTGACATGACATCATTCCTTACATTCTCAAATTAAACAAAAACATAACTAGTTGTGTGAGGAACCAGGGATTCCTAGCAGCATGTTTTCCAATTATGCAAGGTACCAGGCAAGGTAGTAAGTGTTCACCAACTTTATATCTCATCTTCATAAACGGGCTTATCAACGAATTGACAGATAGTAAATTTGGTTTTTTGTATGTTTAATATGAATGTATGTGCACCAACTGTTGCGGATGTAATGATTCTAGTATCTTTGTCTAGGAAAGGTTTAGAGAAAATGATGTCAATTTGTCATAATTACTCTGTGAAATGGCGATTTGAGTATAATGCGAACAAATGTGGTGTGATTGTGTTTAACGAGACAGGAAACAGAAATACTGAACGCCGATGGAAATTAGGTCCTCTAACTGTCAATGAAGTAGTGGAATATACACACCATGGTATTAATTGTAATAGCTTTTTATCAACCAAGAAATCAATCCAGGACGCTTGTATTAAACTACGAGGAACGTATATTAGTGTCCTTAACAGCGGTTTTCATTGCATCCGAATGAAATTAATCCACTTACTTTAAAAACAATTTACAAATCCGTTGTGATTCCGAAGGCATTGTATGGGAGTAAACTCTGGCACACGTTTGCTGAGAGGGAAATACGTCAACTTGAGATTTCCCATCGTTTCTGTGTAAAGAATATAAATCTTTGAAACCTGGAAAAAGTACAGACTTTTCATTTTCTGCATTAGATATAGACTCTATAGAAACAATCATAGATTATAGGACGCTTGTCTTTTTCGGGCAGTTGTGTAGACTTCCGTCCCATTATTTAGCCAAACAAATATTTATACAACGTTTAACTAGGTACCTGAATAGTGATGGACAAATATCTGGCTTTATACCTGATATAGTACCGGCATATTTCCCTTAAAACAACAATGGAAAACACTATTACATCTACATGTGATAATTCCAGAGAAATTTCAGAGGAATGAACGATTAACCCAAAGACACTCAGACACTATATCAAATGTTGAATATTTGCCAAAGTCCGGGCACCCGTGTGATCTTTGGATTGTTGCAACAGTCATCCAGAGTTACGTCCCATGTGTGCCGTAGCTGTAATGCTTGCCGGAAAGAGAGTTTCACGTCAGTTTACAGAACTATGTAAAAAGTGTGAAAATATTTGTGACGATGTAAATGACCATTTATTGAACTTTTGCCAAGTCAACAATTCAGTAAGACAGTCAGTATGGAACACTATAATAAATGACGTTGACTTAAACTATTATTTGAAATGGATAAATCAAGCAAGAGCTACTCAAATGGACATGCTCTTAAACTTAACATACGCGAGTGCTAGAAAATCACGTTTTCTACTGTTGCGTCTGATTTATTAAATGTTCAGTTGATAAGGTGTAGCAACAGGGACACAATGACGCTATAATTGTTATTATCACTTGTTTGTTCTTGTTGTTTGCGTTGTTTTTGCATATTTTGATCAGAATACGCTTTAATGGCTTTTTCTCTTCAACCATTAAATTATTATTTTCTTTGCCTAAAGTTGTTATTTCATAAACGTAAACATAAACATTTGTTTAAAGTTCAGATGGTTATCCATCATATGCTTCAGCATTTAATTACAACAAATGATCAGTTGATAATTAATAAATAATTATTATCTATATTTCATATACTATTTTATATTATATATTTATATAATTTAATGTTGTAATGTCGAGTGACTGTTCGCTAAACATAAAATAATTTATTTGATAATTACAGTTTTATATTCAGATAATTTGTCTAACTTTTCGAATAATCGAAAAGTGTTGTATTTAAGTGAACTTTATATCATTCATTTAGCAGAGAGAAGTTTCTAGAGTTTCGTTTCGTCTAAGACTCGTACTCTAAAAGCTTTAGAGTCACTCACAAGTATGCTATATAAATTTTTTCATATATTTAGATGTCACGAATATTTGTATTGTTACATCATGTACATTGTTTTTAATTGCTGTTATTGTTTGTTCAGCTCTTCAAATATTGGAGGAAATAAAAGTATCTATCTATCTAAAAGTATCTATCTATCTACCATTAACATTTATCAGGACCGAAATCCAGTCGAATAGAGGTGTTGCAAAGACAGCCGTTTCAGTGGTTGCCTCACGATTTCATGTAGCGATTAAAACCAATCAAAACGCTCGTTGTACGAGTACGACATTCGGCATCACAGACAAAACTTCGGCAAACAATAAAATTTAGCTGTAGAAAGTTCAAAATTAACTAGAAATGTGTCATCATGCCACGGATGCCCCCGCATGCAGCCAAAATTTCAGATGGTGCATTAATTATTTTTTTCATTTTAAGTTCAAAGCCCTTAAAACTTTAAAATGTTAACACAAACCATTTTCATACAATGTTCAAGACACTGAAATTATTCAGTCTTAACCTTTTAAAAATAACATATTTCATATTTGTAGCCAAAATAATGGCTAAAAGTATGAGTGCTGAAACTGAAAGTACAAAATTTTTCCAACATTCAGGAAAGATAAGTTTGTCTAAAATCATTGAACCACAACCAAATTCATACTTAAACTGCTTATTCCTAAGATGTATCTATATTATTTTCAAAGTGAAAATGACATAACTCTGCAAAAAAAATCATCAAACCATGACCAAATTTCAACTTGACCTGCCCATTCCTTTGACATATCCATATGTCAAATTTAAGTTGAATATGTAACACTGTTGGGTAGATAATGAACAAAAACTGTAAATTTCATATTATTTTCAAAGTGAAAGGGGCATAACTCCGCAAAAATCATTGAACCATGACCAAATTCCAACTTGGCCTGGGCATTCCAAAAACATATCCATATGTCAAATTTGAATGGATTGTGTTGTACTGTTGGGGAGATAATGAACGGAAACTGAAAATTTCACATTATTTTCAAAGTAAAAGGGGCATAACTCTGCCAAAAATCATCGAACCATAACCAAATTCGAACTTGGCCTGTATTTTCTAATGACATATCCATATGTCAAGTTTGAGTTGAATGTGTTGTACCGTTGGGGAGATAATAAACGGAAACTGAAAATTTCATATTATTTTCAAAGTAAAAGGGGCATAACTCTGTCAAAAATCATCGAACCATGACCAAATTCGAACTTGACCTGTATTTTGTCATGACATATCCATATTTGAAATTTGAGTTGAATGTGTTGTACGGTTCGGGAGATAATGAACGGAAACTGAAAATTTCATATTATTTTCAAAGTAAAAGGGGCATAACTCTGCTAAAAATCGTTGAACCATGACCAAATTCGAACTTGACCTGTATTTTCTCATGACATATCCATATGTCAAATTTGAGTTGATGGGTTGAACCGTTGGGGAGATAATAAACGGAAACTGAAAATTTCATATTATTTTCAAAGTAAAAGGGGCATAACTCTGCCAAAAATCATCGAACCATGACCAAATTCGAACTTGACCTGTATTTTCTCATGACATATCCATATGTTAAATTTGAGTTGAATATGTGCAACCGTTACTAAGATAATGCACGGAAACTGATGATGACGGAATGACAGAATGACGGAATGACGGAAGGACGGAATGACGGAAGGACGGAATGACGGAAGGACGGAATGACGGAAGGACGGAAGGACGGAACAGGGTAACACTATATGCCCCAGCCATTACATGGCGGGGGCATAAAAATGTGAACGATTTCCAGCAAAACAGCAAAGAAAACTTATTGTTACTGATAGAGTTTACCTTCGTCGTTGAAGAATATAGATTTTATTAAACGCGATTTCATTGGTACATATTTTACACACCTGTGACGCAAATCAGTTAATTACATGTTTCCGACTGGCCGATTGGGTATATATAACCGTTCAGTAGTCTTCCGTTGGTAAGCGGATGTTTAACGTGCTTGAGGCTTTTTTTTAAACTAACTGAATTTGAAACTTTTGAAAGACAGAATTTTGACCTGCAATACAGTTAAGAAATGGAAAAAAGATAGTAAAGATCAACCGAGCATAAGTCATGGTAAGTGTTATTTATTAGTATTCAGTTTTATCTTATTCAAAATTATATGGTTTACCTATAACTTCTTATTCAGGTACTTATCTCAGGGTTCCCAGTTTTTTAAACATCATAAGACATACATCGAAATTTTTTTAGATATATCTTATAAAACGTCTTAAAATCCTTTTGTGACCCAGATTCTTTAATTTTGTATTTTCGTTTTCTTTTCCACGAACACGGAAGTATTATTAGACAATGCAGGGGTATCCAGGTATATTATCACGTGGTCTGTTGTTTGGATACTAGTCAAAGTTGGTTAATAGCGCGTCCATAAAACGTCTTAAAATCCTTTTGTGACCCAGATTCTTTAATTTTGTATTTTCGTTTTCTTTTCCACGAACACGGAAGTATTATTAGACAATGCAGGGGTATCCAGGTAATTATCACGTGGTCTGTTGTTTGGATACTAGTCAAAGTTGGTTAATAGCGCGTCCATAAATAAGAAGTTAATATTTTAACAGGTTTCAACATACTTGTGTAAACATCAAAATGATTATATGAGTATGGTACATGTTTTTAATTTTAAGCATTTACGGAAAAATGCCAAAATACAGAAATGGCAATAGCATGGAATTACATGCGTACTTATGGAACGCCGTTACTGTCTTATGTAATCAATGTTTTTGTTATCTTGTGAAACGATGATGTTATTTTGTCGTTTGAGCATGTTAACATGTGCAATTTACATCATGTCTTGTCAAAGGAACATGTTGACTTGTACAAACAGCATGTTAACTTGTCAAATTATTATGATGACATGTGCAGACAACATGCTAACTTGTCAAAGTATCGTGATGACTTGTGCAAACAACATGTTAACTTGTCAAAGTATAATGATGATTTGTGCAAATGACATGGTGACTTGTCAAAATGTAATGATGACTTGTGCAAAAAACATGTTAACTTGTCGAATTATTGTGATGACATGTGCAAACAGCATGTTAACTTGTCAAAGTGTCATGATAACTTGTGCAAACGCTATGTTAACTTGTCAAAGTATAATAATGACTTGTGCAAACGACATGTTAACTTGTCGAATTATCATGATGACATGTGCAAACAGCATGTTAACTTGTCAAAGTATCATGATGACTTGTGCAAACAGCATGTTAACATGTCAAATTTCCATGATGACTTGTGCAAACGACATGTTAACTTGTCGAATTATAGTAATGACTTGTGCAAATGACATGTTATCTTGTATCATGCTGACATGTCAAAACGTACTGTTAACTTGTCAAAGTATTATTATAACTTGTGCATATGCCATGCTAACATGTCAAAAGTCCATGCTGACATGTGTAAACAGCATGTTAACTTGTCGAGCTATCGTTATAACATGTGCATACAGCATGTTATCTTGTCCAAGTATCATGATGTCTTGTGCAAACGACATGTTAACTTGTCCAAGTACAATAATGACTTGTGCAAATGCCATGCTAACTTGTCAAAATTTCATGATGACGTGTGCAAACAGTATGTTAATTTGTCAAATCATCGTGATAACATGTGCAAACAACATGCTAACTTGTCCAAGTATCATGGTGACTTGTGAAAGCGACATGTTATTTTGTCAAAATTTCATGATGACATGTGCAAACAGCATGTTAACTTGTCAAGGTATCGTGATGACTTGTGCAAACTCCATTCTAACTTGTCAATGTATCATGATGACTTGTGCAAATGCCATGTTAACTTGTCAAATTATTATGATGACTTGTGCAAACAACATGTTAATTTGTCAAAGAATCGTGATGACTTGTGCAAAACACATGTTAACTTGTTAAGGTATTATGAGCATGTCATCACGATAATTCGACAAGTTAACATGCTGTTTGCACATGTCATCATGAATTTTTGACAAGTTAACATGTCGTTTGCACAAGTCATCACGATATTTTGACAAGTTAACATGTCGTTTGCACAAGTCATCATGATACTTTGACAAGTTAATATGTTGTCTGCACATGTCATAATGATTATTTGACAAGTTAACATGCTGTTTGAACAAGTCAGCATTGTCTGTAGACAAGATATGATGTACATTGCACATGTTAATATGCTAAAATGACAAAATAATAGCATCATTTCAGAAGATAGCAAAAATATTGATAGCATAAGACAGTCAAGGCGTTCCATACGTACTAAACGTCAGTTATAAACGATGCCGTTTTATTGAAATGCTAAATAATCATTAATGTAAATAGGACCGTCAAACGGTGCATGAATGATGGAATTGAAAGGCCCTTATCAGAGCCGATAGGCATACACCAATCGATCAATATTTGGTTGTAATTTGATAAAAAAATCTTACACCATGTTTACGACTAAAACATATTTCGAGAATTACATGTGTATTTACCAGTGTATGACAAAAGCCCACCCGGACAAAAAATGACGAGACAGACAACCCCCCCCCCCATTGAAAACATCCATCAAGAGATTTTGAAATATCTTGGCACAAATGTTCAAAATGCACAATGTGATGAACAACACCCAAACACCCACCTCCAAGGTTAAGGTCCCACTTGGAGATCAAAGGTCAACATTGTCTGATGGAGGGAATATTCCGTGCCAATCCATAATGTTTTCATCTATCAAGGGATTTTGAAATAACTTGGCACCTATCTCCAGTGTCTAAGTCAGACAAAACAAAAAACGGAAAAAAAACACAACACAAAAAAAACCCACTAAATTCTCAAAGGGATTTATTTATTAAGTTTACATCTCGTATTTCATATATACGCGAATTTTCTCTCATAATATGACTGCAGTATTACCTCAAATTTAAAAAGCTTAAAAAGTAATATTTTCGACGGTATGTTTTTTATATCTTTAAGTCCATATTTATCATCTAAATCGTGTGAATACGCATGCCAAATAAACATTAGTCGCGTGTCGGTAATTAACACTTGTGGGAAACATTTTGCCTATTGTTGTGTTGTGCTCAATTCAATTCAATAGCTTATTTGATGATCACGTGACCTTTGGTGTGAATGGACGTTCTTTAGTTGCTGTCGAATGTTATTATAAAAATGTAATTTAACATAGTTTTATGAGAAAATATGTGGAATAAAAGAAGTGTTTTAATGCTGATACAATGACTAAATCTAAAAAAGTGAATAAAAGGAAAAAAGGAAGTAGTACAGACGAGGAATTGGAAAAAAATAGGAAAACTTTAAAAGCATGCGGAGGCCCGGCAGGGGCATCTAATGAAAACAATATTTCAGTAAGTGAAGTTTTGAATATTACAAACTCTGTATTATTTGATGACACATTATCTACACCACTACCGGTATTTGAAGACGATCACTTATTGTCGCTAAATGAAAGAGACCAATCACCTGGTAATGATGAGTCCATAACAACTTCAGACAAAAACTTTCAATCTAGAAAAATGGAGGCTGAAATTAACTTAAACCCAACTAATGCTGACATTTTATGTTATTTGAAGGAAATTGATGCAAAAATTGAAAACATGGATGTAAAGTTACAGTCATTAGAAGCATTAGAGAAGAAAGTAGACAGTTTTGAAAATGAGTTGAAAAAAATTTGGCTTCATCTGCACGACAGTACTAAAAGTAATGATGAAAAGGTTATGAAAATTGATGAAAGAGTATAAAATGTTGAGTTTGCCGTAGTCGATAAGGATGATCAAATCAAAAAACTTTTAAATGAGAACATTAAAATGAAAGATGAAGTTGTATATTTAAAATCACAATCAATGAGAAACAATTTAATCTTTGGCGGAATTAAAGAAGAGAAAAACGAAAAACCCGAAGAAACGGAACGTATACTTCGAAATCACCTGAAAGAAAAGTTAAACATGGCTGAGGAATATGTTAAGTCACTACAAATTGAGCGTGCCCACAGAATGGGTGTTCAAGGGCATGACGAAAGATCGTTTTGTAATCGCAAAATTGTTTGCAAATTTACATATTTTAAAGATCGGGAGTTCGTCCGAAGTAAAAGAAAGCTGCTCGAAAAATAATCCTACTTTTTACATGAACAGTTTCCCCCAGAAGTTGTACAAAAACGACGTAGCTTATTTCCTAAACTGAAAAAAGCCCGAGAGGAAAACAAAACAGCATGGATTGCCTACGACACGCTGTTCGTCGATGGTAAACCAGTCAAGTCAGCCTAGGAATTACCGGAGAGTGAGCTGAAAGTCTTCGCATGGAATTGCAATGGTTTAAGTGACGCTAAATTAAAAAATAAAGACTTTATTTCTAAAATTTCGGAAAATGATATATGTATTCTTACTGAATCCTGGACTGATGAAAATTCTAATATTGAAATTAATGGTTATACATGCTTTAATTTTTATAGAAAATTTAAACATAAAAGGGCTAAAAGAAACAGCGGTGGAATTGTTATATATGTAAAAAACAATATTAAAAATGGAGTAACTATTGTAAGAAACCATTGTGACACAATTATATGGATGAAACTGGACAGTGAGTTTTTTAAGACAATGACTGATATATATTTATGTGGAGTTTATATGTGGTTTGATGACTCGCCTTTTGCGAGTATTGAAAATGTAGACTTATTTGAAATGTTAACTAATGATGTTTTTTATTTTGAAGACCTAGGTAAAGTGTTATTAGTAGGTGACTGGAATGGGAGAGAAGGCAATAAATCAGATTTTATAGTTTGTGATAATAATGTAAAATATATCGATTCTGACGATTATTTTCCAGATGCACCATTATGCAGGGCCTCTTCCGATCCTATTGTTAACACGAGAGGTGAAAAGATCCTTGATTTTTGTAAAACTACTTGTATGAGATTAGCTAACGGTCGTTTAGGTAAAGATTGTAACGTAGGGGCATTTACGTATTATAGCCGTCAGTCAAACAGTACAATTGACTATTTATTATTGAAAGAGTGCAATTTTCAGATTATAAGTGAATTCGAAATATGTCAATTTAATGAATTTAGTGATCATGCACCACTTT